CCCCTGCCATTAGTCGAGAAGCTGGATAAATGGATCCGAGACGCGGTGACCGTCGGTCTACCGGGTGCCCAGCCACAGACTCAACAATATCGATATGAACATGTGGGTCGAACGATAGTTACTAGCCCGTTTTCGATTATTTATTTTGTATTTTTTTCAGGAAAAACAGGCCGTCTTTTACCCCGGTGCTGCCCAATTCTCCATCGTCGGCTTCACTAGTCAGATCCCAGTCACTCAAGTCGATAAGTGTGCAGTGTCTCAGGCTCGTCATCAGTTTATCATCGAATTAGGTTGTTTTTAGGAGCGCCTAGTGACAATCCGCGCGTTCGTCGCGCGAATGAAGCGGACATTACAAGCTGCTGAACAACGGGGTCCAGCCAAACAAACCATCGCCGTGTTGGCGGAATATCGTAAGGCATTTATTACTTCGTTTTTAACTTTTTTAGTCTTGACGCTGGTTGATACCAACAATCGTGGAGGTGTGATCGAGGAGATGGCCGAAATGATTGTGTGGGTATAATTTAACCCGAATTTTAAAAAATATAGATTGAATTTACGGCGATTTCAGTGAGAATCCCGTGTCCGAAACGAGCAAATCGTCCGTCGAACGATTGACCGAAAATGAATTCGGTCAATTTTGCAGCTATCTAGCGGCCTCCTGCACTCAAAAGGTGTCTCGATTATAAATACGTTTATGATTTTTTTGTAGTTACCGCAATACATCTGGGACCGAGCAGAGAAAGTGGCCAAGAGGCTGAAAACAGCTGAAGAAGAAAGAACGGCCCGACTTGCACAATCCTACCTGCTTGCTCAGGTGAAATCATTATTGATCCGTTCAAGCCAATTTCAGGTCGAAATCAACATCTCTTCGGGCACATATCTCGGAAAAGATTCGGAAACCACCAAATTGTTGAGATATCTGCTGGACACGCGTTTCATATGCGACAGCGTATTTTCGGTAAAGTGAATGAAGATGGGTATTTTCTTTTTAGTACAAGGTCATCCTCCATTTGCGGGGTAAGTTGGTGCGGGCCAGCAGCAAGGATGTTGCACGAAAGGTGGATGATGTTTCATGTCGGGTGGATACGCTAGTTGCCGTCTGGATCCGTTGTGTATTTTCGCATTTCAAAGAAGCCGAAAAAGGTCTGAAAAAATGGTAAAGTGGAAATAACGATGGTACTCCTACAGTCCCGGGGTTTCGTGAGGCGTCTGATGCGATTCGGGACTTTGTGCGTAATACCAGTGAGCCGGGCTCATCCTCCGAGGCACAATTTGATGATCTTTCTCGGCAAATACTTGAAATTCCAGCGGTAGGTTTCTCTGCCTGTTTCTTTTGTCAATATAATTTTTGCTTTTCTAGGCACTTGGCAAATGCTGTGAATCGCCAGAGCGACTCGGCGAATTGAGGATTGAACTTTGGGTGCGTGCTGTATGGAAATGCATTCAACAGTCGGCTCAGCGTGGTTCTGTGGGTTTTATCGCCGAGGGTTTTCTAACTATAATCGTAGCTATTACCGTATCGATCATTTAGACAATAGCTGCCTTATTCGTCGCTCGGATCCTGGAGAATTGTGGAGCCTCTTTAACGCGCCAACTGGAAACCACGACTACGACAATATCTCAAAATTTGCTTTGCTTGATGATGCTGTGTCTTCGCGTCTATTTTGTAAGTTACTAGCAAATTATCTGTTTAAAACTGTCTATTAGCAATCGAACGTGAAAGTCTACGAGCCCGGCGATGTGCCTTTGAACGAGCTGGACGTGCTGCAGTCATATATCACCATCTTCCGCCACCTTACTGTTGACTCCAAGCACAAGGCCATCTATTTGGCGAGGTTCAAGGTAAGCTGCCGCGATCTACTTATTTCCGGTTAGGAACTTTTCAACTATCGGAAGCTGAGCCTCGCTCATCAGCTAACGATCGACAGCGAACTGCAAAAGCAGGAATATCGACAATGGATGGAGACTACCATGGAAGCCGCGACCCAAAGAAACGAAACTAATATCCTGACTGCCCTCTCTTCGATTAATACCGGTGCAATTTGACATTTGTGAATACGGGTGGAAGCTAATATAAATCTATCAAACACAAGTGATACATCAACCAAGATTCGACTATTGCAGGATAGGAAGGCGTTTGATTACACGTTTGATTAAATCACAGAGGGGAATAAATACAAATGCATTAACCTTAATCTTAAGTATTTAGCGATCGGCCATCAGGGCTTCGATTTCTTCGACGGTGCGCGGGACTTGGCTCATGTTCTCGTTGCCCTTCTCCCAGATGACGACATCATCTTCAATACGTACCTAAAGAGACTGGTACGTTTCAACCTGGTACGAACCCCTCCGGATCCGCGGTACTCGGCAATCTTTTCCTTGTTCATAAACTGGGAGAGCTTGGGGTCCGCAAAGGCCCCATCGAGCAGGAAATCGATGAAATAGCATCCGGGCTCGATGGTGATCACCATCCTCTCGCGCAGGGTACGCGTCGTGCGCAGGCTCTTCAGCCCCGGAACCTTGTAGCGAGGCTCGGCGTCCTAGAGGAGGTTACCTCAAGAGTTCGGACTGCCTACCCCAAGGTATCCACCGCAATCGTGCACATCCAATCCCATGAAGTGGCCAAGACCGTGGGGCATGAAAACAGCTCCAAGACGAGCTTCGACCATGGCATCAACCTTAAAAAATAATTGACAGGGTGAGTGGTCCTACGTCGCCATGGAGGAGTCCGGCGTTGGTCAAATGGGTTAGGATGACTTTCTCAGACAACCGATGCATGTCCGCCCACTTAACGCCTGAAAAATGTTCACATTGATTTATTCGCTTCCTCTTAACCCTACCAATCTTTGCCTCGCGTAGAACGGTGCGATTCGCATCCAGAACGGCATTGTAGATAATCTTCTGTTTTTCCGTAAACTTCCCGTTCACAGGGAAGGAAGTCGTGATGTCGGAGGCTAAATGGTGGTACTTAATTTTACCCGTTGAACTTACTGTAGCAATTGTACTCCGGGCCCATGTCGAAGAGGCACATATCGCCGTCCTTCACTTCTTTGGAATTTGGGGCGTTAGCATGTCCATAATGCAAGATAGAACCGTTGCAGCCACTAGAGAACATTAGGAGCGAGTTTTTGGATCTAACCTGGCAGCAATACAAGTGTAGGCGAGATGACGACATCCTCCCGTGTAGTAGCTGGTATGGCGGAACAAGCTCAAAATACGGTCATAAATTAATGTTTATAAAAATACCTTTCACATTGGTACTCGAAAAGGCCGGGCTTGATGTGCTTCATGACAGCCTTGTGCGCATCGGAAGCGATCTTACTCGCGTAACGCAATACCTAGAAAAGGGCTGAATGGACAATTCAGGCAGCTAACCTCGAGCTCGAGGTCAGTCTTGAAAACGCGAAGCTCGGCAATCACAGGGTAAAGCGCGTCATTGTCAATCGTGAAGCTGAATGAAAAATATCCAAAAACTAAAATATTGCCTACCCATCCTTTCCTTTGAATTCCGCTGGTGGCAAAACGTTGCCCGAGTCGGTGTTGTCGGCTTTCTAGGAACAAAAGTTCGAAAAACGATAAATACCCTTACCAAGAGATAAACCTTCGACGCCTTCAGTTCTTTCAACTTATCAGCAATAGCAGCCGTCTTCTCGTCGTGGAAATGAACCTCATCAACCTCGTACTTAGTTTTGAACCAAGACTCAGGCTCAATCCTGAAATGAAACATTACTTCATTAATTAAATTCTATTCATACTTCCCATCCCAAATAGCGTAATCCGGGTGAAGACGAGGCGGGAAAAGCACACTGCGGCCCGAGTCAACATCGATCAGCCCAAAGGCATCAGATTCTTGAACGCCAAATGTCCAGAAGAAATAAGACTCCTAAAAATCAATACAAAACGAGTCAATTTTGTACCTGTCTGAAGGGCAAATCATCGGCATCGGTGTTGTATCTGTTCTTCTCGTGGCCACCCTCCAATACAACGACGGCTCCGGGGCCAGATACCTAGAAAAGAGGAATTTAGCTTTAGTAAAATAACAGGACTACCTTTTCCTTCAGCGCTTTCACCAACCGCTGGCGATTTTCGACGAAAAGCTTGGCCGAGACGCGCAGGGTGTTCCCGCCCAAGTGAAACGACATCGTCTATAAAATTAAATCTTTGTCCAAATTGATGGGCACGAAAAACTGGCCATTTTGAATGAGTTGGCTATCAGCAAAAGGGTTGCGAGAAGCCTGGCTCGGCCAAAATGATAACGCATCTTGAACTTGGCTGACCGCGGGGCAGCAGTACTCTAGCTAGAGGTTGCCAAAAATATCCTCAAAGGAAGACAGAGCAATTTTGGAGGTGTTGGACCAAAAAGTGGAGATAATCAGGGGGTCGAGAATGAATGATTATTTCTGAGTTTTAAAAGGAGCACGGCACAGAGAAAAAGAAACGTAGAATAACGCTGTCTAAATCCGACAACGTATAAAGTTAGATTAGAAAAAATGACAAAATTCATTTAACAAAATTTCTAATTTTAGATCCTGTAAAATTATTCCGATAGGATACTTTCGACGAATGACCGTAATTTCTACAAGCAAGCGTATTCAAGCGGAATTTTCGGCGTACGGTAGAACGGAGTACATTACGCTACGTACTTGCGTAATATCACTCCGGCGTCCGGGGACGTACATTTGCGATACATTAATTTTTCCAATAGTTTGCTTCCGTATCCCTTTAACTAGCCTCTAGGATCTTTTTCGGCCCCTCCTATTCGACCAGGTACGTTCCACTTCTTGGTCAGCATATTTCGGACGGTCCGCGATTCCTCCGGCGTCGTTTTAGCCCCCCAATGTCAGCATAACACAGCAACTACAAAGATCTGGGCCTGTGTATGACTGGTGTGGTAGTTTGTAGTGCTGCGGATTCGACCCTCCACCCTCCATTCATCAGCTGATCCATACCTACCTCTTACGCGATAGAATCACCCCTAGAAGCCCTGAAATGTTGAATACATGGGCATAAGCTGGTCCGCATTCGTAGATTTGCCGCTGCGGTATATTTTTGGCTTGGAGCAGCTGCAAAGGTGGGAATAGCACGTGCTTTGTTTGTTGTTCTCTGTTTCTAGGCATCTATTTTTTTTGTAAATGTGTCGAATTGGGCCGAATACTTTTAAACATTTTATTTTTTTATATTTTTACTTTGCAGACCCTACATCGAATACCAGCCACCAGTCAATTTGATCGCGCAAGCAGCAACGCTGGCCGCCCAACAGCGACGAATGTCAGATTCGGTACCACAACTGATTCATCTTTTATCAGATTCTTTAGTCAAACTCGTCTGACTCGGACTCGGATCAAGAGGTTTGTAATTTATTGCAAAAAACCCTTAATCGACGATATCTAGATGCCGCCAGCTCGATCACCGCCGAATCGCCGAGACATCGACGGCCCTTTTGGTTATGTTCCTGGAGATTGTCAACCGGTTAGTCTGAATTAATTTTTAAAATATTGCTATTTAGTCGATCAGCCGATTGCAACACGTTTGCGCGACGACCAGCCAGCCGTTGGCCGGTTTTTCGCCGATTAGCCGACAACGGACGGCATTGCAGCTTGGCGGCCGAGGATATAACACCAGTGTCGGTCGAGCAAGCATGTTAGATAGGTAAGAATCATTAAAACCTTTCGAATAATTTGTCAATTTTTCAGTTTCTTGCCAAATCGACATAAGCTCGTAGATGCGACGAGGATAAAGACTTTTTGCGCTCACTATTTCAACGATGATGATATTATGACTGCAAGTCAAGGTATCTCTTTGAAAGCGTTATTTAAGACAACTTTTAGATGGTGTTATCCGATTTTATACGAGAGGCTGTAATTACTCAAAGCGATACACGGAAGACAGTCAATTACAGGTAGAAAATATTCTAGGTTCAGAGAAAATCGGCTTTTTTCCAGGTGCCGGTTGTTGGATGGTCGGTGCTAGACGTGGCCATCAGCCCGGATTCGCAGTATCTAGCCTACACCACATGGCGCGATATTGTATTTTTGACGCGTATGGGGATGCGAAGCACAAAACGATACAGAATGGTTCGCCTTTAATTCCTTTTGTTTGTACTTGATTCTCAGGAACGAGAACTCGGCAAAGAGATTTCGGAGCCGGAGCCGGCGTTTGAGCAGCTGAAATTGACACAAGACGAAGACGCCGAAAGGTATTGTTCGGGCTAGATGAATGAAATATCAAATTTTTCTAGAAATAACGGTTTTGCTCTGTTCCAACTCAAATTCTCTCCTGATGGGCGTGAAGTTTTGGCTGGTTCTTCAGCATTCCGGATATTTGCCGTTGACTTGGAAACGAAGCGCGTTACCTTGGATGTAAGTTAGAGAGTAGGGGCAATTTAGATCTGTTTACACCTTCTTTTTTTGGCCTTCTTGCTGAATTTCTCGATTTTAGCTGACTGCACATGAGGATGACATCAACACAGTCGCATTTAGCAGTCAAAATCACCTTGTTTTCAGCGCCGGTGATGATGGATTATGTAAGGTACGTTTTATTATTTTTTCATTTATTTTATTCACTGATTCAGGTCTGGGACAGACGGGCGATGGGAGAATCCGATCAACCAGCCGGAATATTTGCCGGCCACCGCGACGGGATTACTTCTGTGGATGTTCGAGAGGATGATAGGTTGCTCCTGAATATCATACTTTACGTCTGTTTTTCTTTTTCAGATATGTTGTCACGAATTGTAAGGATCAGTCAATCAAGATTTGGGACATACGTAGATTTGCGTCAGATGCAGCCGTGGTGAGTCATCTTTGGTAGTATAATTATTTCCCCTTATAGGAGGAAACAACGAATTGTGTGCGTTCGCAGCGTTGGGACTATCGGTTTAATCAGAATCCGGTGTATCAGTCTGAGCTTCTCCCAGGTAGGCGAGTGGCTTAGAAGAAAAGGCTAATCTTTAGGCGACTGCTCACTGATGACGTTCTACGGACATGTGGTGAGGCACACGCTGATTCGAGCTCGATTCTCACCCCGGAGCACCGGCTCCAGATATGTCTACACCGGATGTGCGGCAGGGAAAGTCTGGAGTAAGGCTTCAATTATATTAATTATGATGTTCTAACATGAATTGATTTTGGCCTATCGCCCCGTAGGAACCCGATAAAGAAGTATACAAAATTTATTTAGTTGTTTTGCGCTGTTTTTATGCTGAAAAGCACAAAAAATTAAAATGTTTCGAAAATTTTGTTTTTGCGCAAAAAAGAAATCTACACATTTTTCAACGTGGAAAAATGCTCTTATGCCCTTTTAGTGATCAAAAACCACTAGAAACGCTATGAAAAACACTATAAGTGTTCAATAATTTTGCTACTCGTACAAGCTATCTGCCCCCCCGCCAACAGTCTAGTACCTTATCCCTTTCCAGTTTTCGACATCTTGAAAGGCGAAAGCGTCGCCGTCCTCCAGGGCCATAATGCCGTCGTGAGGGAGTGTGAATGGAATGGGAAGACAAACGAGATAGCCTCCGCATCGGTGTGTCTCATTCTCCCCCAATAACTCTGAATAACAAATTTAGTGGGACGGGCACACATTCAGTTGGAAGTACGACTGTCGCGCTCGTGATGACTATCAGCCCTTGGCTGAGGACGAAGAGAGCTCGAATGAATTCTACGAATCGTTGAAGTCGCAACGGAAACGGACCGCTTTGTAAGTCGGTTATATTCTACACGAATAAAGTTTTCAGAAAGCGACGGCGGATACGGCAAGCGGACCTGTATGACTCGGATATGGAGATGTAATCGCTAGCTTTATTTGTTAGTTTTTTTTGTTTTTTTTGTTTGATATTTTGCTTTTCAGTCCTCCCACGCTCACTTTGCCATTCTTCTCATTGTCATCGAATACGAGGTTTTCCCGGTTTCCGCTCTTTTTATGGGTTGTTTAAGGTATCACCTTGTTGCCCCTTTGTTCAGTTTGTTTAGTGATAACATTTTTTGCAAATATAAATCTACGCAAAATTTGTGAATTCGTTCCTAAAGGATTCAAACAAAGGAGAAGCCCCGCATTGCGAACCCCAAAAAAGTTGTATAAGCTTGCCGGACGCAAAGACACCAATTACTATGCATGGAGTCCCTTTTTGGTGAAGGCAGAAGAGGAGGAGGGGCACCAGCTGGGGGAGAAGCCTCCCTTCGGCTTATACGGAGACGGAGGAGATCAATAGGGAGTGGGACAGACTGGACGGGACCCCCAGGGGCCGCTGGGCCCCAAGAGTTGCCCCTTATTGCGGGGGCCCTTCGCTTGGTTGCATTGGGTTGAGGAGGGTGGATATCGCTGGTTGCGATCTGCCGGGTTGCCCGGATATCCGACCACGTTCACGCGCATTTGGACAGCTGCGCCGATGCGTTGTTCGTGAGGATTTTGTCCTGATTTTTTTTCTGTTTCTCTATTTTTTTATGTCGGAGTTGTAACATTTCTACTATATGTTTTTTTTTTGCTAGAAATTCCACTCGGGGTTTTGATCTATTTTTACAAGCCTAAAACCAAAAACCAGGCCCGCCGGCTAATGATGCGTGGTGCTGCTGGTTTTCGGAGCGGGGCAGCAGCCATTTGCAGATCGAATTTCGCAACCAGCCACTCCCGCGTCCGCCTTTTCGTGAACTGAGAACCAATCTAGGCTCCTTCCGATTTGTTATACCCCGTAGTGGCTTTTCTACGCTAATATTAAATTTTGCTCATATTTTCCCTTTTTTTGCCAAGAAGAAATAATTTACGTGATTCGAACGATTCTCTATGACTTTTCTGTACTTCAAAAGCTACATAAACGGTGTTTATTCCTTTAGTGAGACCCTACGCCACCCCGCCCCCGCCCCCCGCTAGCACACCAGTGCCAATTTTACCCGTTATGCCCATTGGCAACTAATTTTTTTACCTTCTGCGCCTCAAAACACCACCTGCTGCTCCTAAAAAATGGCAATCCCAGGCGGGGAGGGTGATTGGTGACGGTTGTAAGAGGCATGCAAAAAATGGGTGCAGCACAACCCGCCGGCAGCTGAGAGGACTTTTCCGGAGAGAAAAAAATTGCCCCCAAATGATGAATGGCGGCAGTTGGGAACGGCGATTTTGCGTGAGCCAACCCCGGGTGGGTTACCTGGTTTAGATCATGGCTCGTAGTTATTCAGAATCCGGATGTTTCTAGAGGTTTTTAAGGTGTTTTAAAGGGATTGGCAAGATAATAGGATTTTCGGCTAGATTTTGTTATATGTTACACTACCTTATTTTGAGCTGAAATTACAACCCCCCCCCCCCCTCCTTATAATGCAAAAAATTGGCGAAAATGTGCAAAACCCGCTTCCAAGTCCTCTAATGCAAACTAAAAATAGTTCTTCGCGCCTGCCCTTGCATTACGTAATGCGTTACACAGCGCGTTGCGTGTCGCGGCCGCAGTAGAATCACGGGGTCTTTTCGCGCGCATGGGGGGTGGGGAGGGGCGTGGCCTAGTGGTCTAAGGCGCCGGTCCAAGGGACAGGTGGGGGGTGCTGGTTCGATCCCTCCCGGGGAAAGAAACATCATCCCGTTTTGCTTTTTTCACGAAAAGTTGCGGAAGAGCATCAACATCCTTGATATACACACCCCAGTAACGAGAATTGCCGAATTTACCCAATTTGACGCTACACATAGAAATCGAGAGATTATGGCTACTTCTGGCTCGTTTAACTTAGTTTTTACCAGGAATTGCCTGAAGCTGTTTTAGGTTTGCCCCTGAAAACAATTGCAGGCAAATTGGGGTGTTGTACAGGTTGATTCCGGAAGGTCTGGAAAATCAAGCCTTCGGCTCTTCGGCGTTTTGACATCCAGCACCTTGTAAGTAGCAAATTCGTCATTGGCCATCATCCGTCAGCCAAACTAAACCAAAAAAGCGGAAATACTAAGTCTAAATTCTAAGAAAAACGCTTCGCACAATTTCCAGATTTTCAGTCCTGGGTCCATTTAAACGGCTTTCAAGTCAATGTTGTGCCTCGCGATCGTCCTTATTTTGCTACCAAAATGTAGCTGGGATCTTTCTCTATCGATAGTGAGGTGGAGAATTGATCAAAGTTTCTAGAAAAAAAGTTATAAGCCTTAGAAGTAGTAAAATTTGGCAACTTTTCGGGCCCCTCTCTGGGGTTAATATGGGGCTCTGTGCGCGCAGCCGATCCACCTGTCGCTTGGACTGCTACGTTATTCCGTGCGCGCCTCGCCATAGAAAAAAAACCCCGTGGAATGAGAATTCCGCAGCTAAAAACCCATCTTCGTGCCTTGTGGATCCCTTTAACTTTATGGCATTCCTCGCTCCAGACGGCTCGTTTTAAAGGTTCTCACTTTCGTTTTTCCTTTCAAGGTGTAGGTTTTGATTTGTATGCAAACAAATAAAACAGGAATTGCCCAATAAAAACTATCCATATTCATCCCAGGCCAATCCCTTGAATTTTTAGACAAGGCTTTTTTTTAGTTCTCGCTCCTTCGAAAGTTTCGCTGCTGGTTTTTTTTCCGTTTCCATATAATTTGTTCTTATTTTTACAAAATAATAGAATCTTTTTTGCAGCTTCCAAAGGATTTGATGGGCCACGAGACGGCCGGGGCGTCACCGGCCGTCCACGTGTCGTTCGCCGAGCGGGACGTGCTCAAGGTGATCCTCGAGTTTCTCGAGTTGCGCGGTTTTCACATTGCACAGGTACGAGAGTTTTCAAAGCATCTATCTTCTAATTTAGTTAGCTTTGGAGCGCGAGACGGGTGTGATCAACGGTCAGTACTCGGCTGATCTGCTATTTTTGAGGTTTGTTGAAAGTAGAATGTACAATTTCTCCCTTTTTCAGGCAGTTGATCATCGACGGCCAATGGGACAATGCTCTGGACTTTGTGGAGCCGTTGAAGGGCTGCGATGATTTTGACTTTCAGGCGTTCCGGTAGGGCTATAACTTCGTTTCTGGGCTGTTAGGGGGGGGTTGAGTAGATAAAGTGATGGATAACCATGACAAATTTTGATCAAGTTCGAATTTTTAAAATTGAAAAATGTTTCAAAACTCTAATAATAAATAATATTCTGAACTACGCTTCTATATATTCATTTTCTGCAGTTCTAAATTTCCAAATGTTTATCAATTAGGTACAACATCACCAAGTACAAGTTTTTCGAGCTGCTCTGCATCAAACTCGAACCGGGCCCCATGCATGATAATGATTTTGCGGTCGAGGTATCGAGATTCCCTCTTCCGAAAGCCTTTTTTAGGAATTGGTAGAGTGCCTCTCCGATCTGGAGCATATCTGCCCGAGTCCAGAAGACTATCGACATCTCTGCGCCATGCTCACATTACCTCGTCTCTCCGATCATCACGATTTTCGGCATTGGAATCCGAGTGCAGCGCGGATAGAATGCTTTCATAAGGTATAAAAGTTAAGGAAATGGAGTTAGATTTTGATTTTTAGGTGGAAAAGATGGTAGCAAGACTACTCCCGCCTACCCAAAAAGAGTCAACGCCATTACCAGCTTCGATCCATGATAGATTGGTTTCTTTGGTGGCCAAGGTGGGGAGCTTTTTATGAAGCCAGTAGGATTTTAGCGCTTCTGCTAAAAAGTATATAAATTTTTTTTAGGGAATTTTCTACGAGGGTTGCGTCGACTACTGCCAAGGACAGGCCGTTGGAGAGTTGAAAGGTATGTGAATTTTCTGTATTAGTGCCGTATTAAAATTTGACACCTAGTATAGTGTCTAAGGCGGTGATATTTTTCCAACAATTTTTATACACAACTAAACATTTGTAACAAGGCTTTTCCTCAAAAATGCCTTTTAAAAACTAATTGAAACGGATCATAAAGGTACTAAAAGCTCTGGCAGTTAGAAAACCTTTAGCAAATCAATAAAAGCAATTTTTAGGCCTCGAAGACGGACCCAAAATCGGCCAATTACTCTCGAATCGACCTCGCCTCAGCGGCGTCGATTTGTCGTTGGTATCATGGCTTGGGGTCGTTTCCCGTGAGCAATTCGCCATGCCATTCCAACAGAAGGGCCTCGACACCCGCATCGAGCCCATCAAGTAGCTCCCCAGAAGATTCAATAAATATTTTATTTCAGAAAGCCCAAGCTTGAGGCTCAATGGGCCGAGCAAATTCTGGCGACACCTATCAAGCCGGGTGGAGCATTCCCGCATTCAGCGGTCCCAAAGACGAAGCTTCGTTTTGCCGAAAAGATGAGCCAGAGCATAGCTGCATTACCGATGGGTGCGAGTATGGCGATGAGTAAGGATAAAAGTGTTTTTGTAAGTTCATGGTATTCAGGCACGTATCCCACGCCGAAGCACGTCATGTCCCAATCAACGGCTCCCGGCTTTACACTCAATGGGAAGGCTGAAGCAAGCGGGGTATGTTTTATAGAGTTCGATGAACTTATGATGAAATGATAAATCTTATATTGTGCTTCGTTTACTTCTAGCATTTATACACTTTTTCAGGAGGCGATGGTGCAGTCGCAGATCATTGACGCTATGCTGGAGACGAGCGAGCTGGCGAAAACAAGTCGGCCCGGTTCTGTAGCTGCACAAAGCCGGCAGATGACACCGATGAGCATGTAAGTCGATCGATATTTTGTCCCTTTTTTCGCTTATTTTCAAAATAACGAAAGTTAATGAAAATTGGACACCTTTGGCATATGAAAATTTCCACACTATAAAATTCGACATTCTGGTACAAAACAGCCGTTTTCTGGCATTATTTTCTTAGTGGACAAATTGTAAGGAAAACATCTCAGGTCCGTGGCTCCGCAAGTCCTTGCACCAGCAATGGCCCAATCGATGTCCGCCGCCCCATTCGATTTTACGCAAACGAGAAGACAACTCGATGAAATGACGAGGAGGTTGAATATACATCAATATTTCACCTTTTTTCATTTCTAGATCCGTTCCACCATCATCTACCCGTCAGTCCTCCCTCCCGCCGGTTCCCGAGCTGTCTCCACACTCCGAAGATGCCACCGCCATGACCCAAAGTCGACTCTTCCAGGAATTCGCCAGTCGTCAAAAACGTGAGGATCCTTAAACCCTTCCGGTTACCGTATTCCAGCCGAGCCCGCGCCCCCGCAAGTCCAGTTACGCCCGCAAATGCCGATGCCGATGCCACACCTTAGCCCGCAACCGATGTCGTATCCTGGACCACCGGTAGGTGATTGTCATTTAGAATCTACGCCACCGGCTTGGCAGCTAATTGTTTATGCCGATTTGCTATCAAAATTTCGACATTTCAATACGTCAAAGTTTTTCTCGGGGTATTTGGGGTTTTTCGTGTAAAGTAAACTTCGACCTGTTAAAATGTCGCCATTTTCGAAAATAGACCCCTTATCAGGTGCTACCCGGCTACGCGATAAACCCGCCAGTACCGTATGGGGATTTCGGAATGGGCCCCCGCCCGATCTATCCTAATGGCCATATGGGCCCCAACGCGATGGCCCCAATTGCAACTGCCATGCCAAGGCCACTGTCGATGATGGGTAGGTGATTAGCCACTAAGATTTTCGATAATTTCGCAATTTTTCGGGATTTTGGCAGCGCGATCATCAAGATAAAGAACATCAGATATAGAGCAGCAAGAAATATAGTAAGCGCAATTTCAACCAGACCCAAATGACGTGATATAAATAGTTATAATAAAAACAGATTAGCCTTTTGGATAAATCGTTCTAGGCCCAGCTTCACCTGCGCATCCGGGTCCGGCGGCTCGTCCCCATTCAATGCCCTCGAGCAGCGGAATGAACGTGCAATTTGTTCCGGTTTGTAGGTGAATTTTTAGAAATTATTGATAGGGCTTTTTAGCTTTTCGAACGTGAGTTTATGTTAAAAACTCTATAAAAAAATCTCTACCTAGGTACGAAGACGCACAAGCCATCCGAGCCTCCGCTTTCCACCCATCAGGCCGTGTATTCGCCGTGGGCACCAACTCGAAGCAGATGCTGATCTGCGCCTACCCGGACGTCAAAAGGAACAGGTGCACTACGCAGCAATACCCTTTACGCAATTTTTCTAGACTCTACAATCCTAGGCTACGGTAAGCAAAATATAGCAAAGCCCCGGGCTGTCGATAGCATGGCTTTTTCGCCTTTATCTCCCCCGGCTACTGTAGATGAGCTTTGCTTTAGGACTCACGAGCCGATGCCGAAGCCAGAAATATTGTTGTCACGCCCAAAGCAACACCGCGGATCTGTTTATTGTTTGGGATTCAGCCCGAGTGGAGGTATTTTGTTAAAAATTAGTTGATTTTTATCAAAAGGTATTTTTCTCAGTTTTCCTTTTGTTAACTTGACCCTGCAAAGTAACAGCCATTACAGAAATGCTAGCAACCGGCTCAAACGACAAATCGATGCGTCTAATGGCCTATAACGTGGATAACAGCCGGATAGGTGGGCTTTTTAATTGACAGGCTGAGCGAGCAGATATCTCTTTTTAACTCAAATATTTTTTAGGAGCCGAAATGGAGTTGAATTGTCACGATGGGACGGTGCGGGATTTGATCTTTCTCGAAGACTCTGTCAATCGGACGTCACTGCTGATATCTGGTGGGGCCGGGGATTGTCAATTACGGTAAGGGTTACGGTATAAACAATAATTTTTGTTTCTAGGGTCAGCGACTGTCACACCGGCCAAGTCGTTCAAAGCTACTCCGGCCATAGTGGTGGGTGGAATCTAAAATACATTTCAAAAACCTGCACGAACCTATGAATTTGTGTAAGCGCAACTTATAATGATTTAATAAATCTAATTCGGAAAATGAAATTAAAATATAAAAAATTATATAAAATATATATTCATCGCCATTCAGCCCCGATCCTGGGCCTCTACTCCTGGGGTACTGGCCCGCAATTCGTCTCCTGTTCCCAGGTAGGTCCCTAGGCTACGGTGGCTTGGTCAGGAGATAAAATAGAAACACAAAGCACTTCAGGACAAGACGATTCGATTCTGGGATGTAAGAGCCCCACAGCCGACCCACGTCATCCAGCCGAGCGCCAAGATTGCTAGTGAGTTCCTAGCTAAAAAACTACCAAATACCGTACCTCAGACTCGCCGGTGACGTCGGTTTGCGTAGACCCATCGGGACAGCTGCTGGTTTCTGGACATGAGGATGCATCGGTTGCCCTGTGAGTTTTCAGCTTTTTAAAGGCATACTAGCCTTCTGAAAAATTGCAAAAGAGCTTCCGTTTTTTCGAACGAGACACTAATTGACACACTATCATCCTTTGCGCTGATTGCATTTTACTCCCGGTTTGAACGATTACGCCATGAAATAGATACGACATGACCGGGCGTCGTGTCCTCCAAACGTTCCGTCCTCACGGTGATGAGGTGCGGAGCGTACGCTTCAGCAATGCGGCCTATTACCTCCTCTCGGCCAGCTACGATAAGAGGTAGGGCTTCATAATTTAATCGCCATCCTTTATTTATTAAGAATTAATATTAGTAACAATTATCCAGCCTATTTATAAAAAATAAAAATTTCACCCCTGTAGGGTATGCATCACCGACATGAGAGGCGATTTAATGGCCCCGTTGATGTATTTGCCGGTAGCCGAACACTCGGATAAAGTGATACAGTGCAGGTTAGTTCAAGGGCAGCTCTTTGTTTTTTTTTAGAAATTTGATACTTTAATTTACTATTCTAAAATGTCTTTTTTTAGATGGCACCCACATGAATTCTCCTTTCTCTCCACATCCGCTGATCGTTCGGTCGTACTCTGGGCCCTGCCACCGCCTTGAAAACAGCTTTTTATACTTGTTTTTAATTTTTGTCAAAATGCTTGCATTTCCATGCTATACGGGATATTAGCCGAGAACCTTGATCTCACCCCCACTGCCTACCTGTGCCATATGACGCTAATCTGTATGTATCTATCGCTGTAAATCAATGAACGATTATATAACGATTTTATTACGCAAAAAAACGTTTGATTCTTGCTTTTAATCTTGTTCTTGGTCAGACCTGGCTGAGGCAACGGTTTGCATTGTTCTTCTTCGGCATGATGACGGTGTCCAGCGAGTGTGATAAACGGCAAGATGAGGTCGACAGCGACTGAAAAGGGCTTATCAAATTTTTATAAGTTGCACCTTTGTGCCAGCTGGATACCGCCGAGCCCGATTTATCGAGCGCCCATTCTTTTGAATCCAAATGGCGCGCGCTCTGAAGTGAATATTACCATACATTACGAATCAACCTGTAATATCTATAAGAGCCGGTGAGGAAGAATAATTGTAAAGCAAGCAAAACAATGCTTCCGGCTAGGGAGACGACCCTTTCCCATGCCATATGGTCTGAAAAACAGTACAAAAGAAGCTACACTTACGAAGGTAGGCATCCCCACGACGGAATAGACTGCCATAACCTGCGAAATTCAGCGCCGCTGCCAACGGCTTGACCTTCCCAAAGGAGCCGATCACCAGAAAAGCAACGAAGAGCAGCAAAGACCAAGTCAATCCAGCGCCCTATTATTCCTTCAGTTTTCCTTCACGCTCTTACCTGGATGATAATCGTGGGCAGCAACAGCAGGGAGCAGCGCCGAATCAGCGCTGCAAGCAGGGTCGATGCCAACAGGACCCAAACTATCAGCAGCACCAGTGTCTCGTCAATTTGGAAGCGGGTCACGCCCACCAGATGTCGCTGGCTTGGGCTTGTGGTCAGCTGGGCCAACTCGTAGATGACGGTCACCCATAAGAGGCCGCAAATTACGCGCAGGCCAGTCTAAAACGCAAAAAATTTCTTTTTTTTGGATATCTCTTTTGGAGGGAAAGCTAAACACAAAATTATAAAGCTCATTCCGAGCCGCGTCTATGAACGAAATTTTGTCAATAGGCGTCGTACGTCAAACCTGTTTCGTGGCCTAACTAGATATTTTTTACAGTTACACAACCGCCCAGGCCTGGGAATTTGGCGGGCCGGCCCGGGCCGGGCCGGGCCGGGGCCGAGATTTTCGGGATTTTAGGCTGGCGGGCCGGCCCGGGCCGGCCCGTCAAATATGGAGGGCCGGCCCGGGCCGGCCCGCCACCTTGCCAATAAGTTATATTAGGTTTAAATGAGGTAATTTAATTACATTATAAGTTTTCCTTATTGATATTCAACTTCAATCATCTGTTTAAACAGTTAAAAGTAAAAAATCCGAGTTTTGGCTTAACTTTGATTTATCAGGAAAACGACCCGGGTTCGATCCCGGCCGAGGTCAATCTTTTGTTTTTTGCTTTTTTTGGCCGGAAATGTTTAGAAATGCTGGGAATATGCCTTGCTAGCCTTATTAAGTGTATTAGCGTTCAAACTACACGTGGGCGTCAAAGAAATTGAATTCCACTAAGTAAAACAGACTTTTTTCTATTGAACTAAAGATGTACTGGTTGTATGCTGCTTTATGAATAAATTCTCGTTACATACTATACCTAAATCGGTTGTGCAAGCCTATAGACGATTAACAAACTTGATCTAACACTTTTTTGTGACTCCGGAAAAATTAAAGGATGGTATATACTGGTTTGGTAAAAATGTACCCAAAATGTCGGGGCCGGGCCGGGCCGAGAAAAATGGGCTGCCCAGGCCTTTCCATTCCCAGGCCTGCAACCGCCCATGGGTTCGGTCCAGATGGTTCAAGGGAAAGGGCGTACTGTGCGTGTTTTTCGCGCGTTGCGTGCGGGTGCGCGGAATAGCAACCGGTTTTTAGCTGCGCAGGCCTGCTTTCGCAATTGCGCGACACGTCTATCGCACGCGTTGCGGTCTTCCCTCCTTCCCAAAGCTACCGGACGTTTTATTAGGAGCCGGGCCGCTGTGGTTATCCTACCTTATATAATTTTGGGGTGTATCTCTGTGTGTGTGTGTGTGTGGATGTCACTTTCGAGGCCCGATTTAAAGGGCTGCGGACGGCATATGTCGATCCCCCCCATCAACAAATTGGCAAGTAGCCAACAGGGCAGAGAGCGCGCCCTGGGGAGAGGTGCAGAGACATTTTCTTTCCAGCGCGTAACCGATTGACTATGCCGTCGGCATCCCTTTAAGGGCCTTCCCCTGGATAAAATGCGCTGATTCTTGGTCACAAGGGGGAATCGACCTTCCTCTTTCCGATGGCGGTTTCAGAATTTCGATAAAATACAAGTTTACAAAGTTAAAGCCGGTTTTATTCATTTTTGGGGGTGCGGGAGCGCTAATTTGCATAATGCTCAAAATACAAATTTCCTCATTTTTGCCAGTTGCACTCGCCCGTGTGGTCGGCAGTGGGGAGGGGTCCGAAGGACCCGAGCTATCGGAAGCCAAATTTTTCATGCAAAGGCCCAATTCCAGCGCCCAAGGCCCGCGAAGCGGGTTTTGGGCGCTGGTTTAAACAATAAGCATGCTTCCCCGCGTCAACCCAGCTTACCGTGTAACGGATCTGGCGACAGCAACACGTGAATTCGCGGTTGTCAAAGCCGCCGCGTGAATTGCCAGAAGTCACAGAATCGAAAAACGATGGTCCTGTTTCGCTCATCATGCCAAAGCTAGTACTAACGCCAGCTTCCTGGGAACCGCACCCGCTCGCAAAAAAACATAAGCGCCCACTGATTTGGCCAATTGCCCGAGGACGCCCGAGCCAGTGAGGCTCTGCAGGAATAGAATAATTGGTTGTGTATGGTAGTTCACGTGAAACCCATTTACGAGTTTTTTGGGGGTGTTTTTAATTTTTGTAGGCAGTATGAGGTCATATGGTTCGGCGGTTACACCGCTTATTCTATTTTATGCAGTTAGCCTATCAAGTTGTTGCAATGTTTGCCCATTGGGATGCAGAAACTTGTCCAACGAGTTTCCCTAGCTTCCGCATCAGACGAGCCTCCTTCATCAGTTCATTCAGCGGTAGAAGAGAATTCAAGTATTTTCGTATGCAAACCGTTTCTTTGTCCAGGGCCTTGGTGCGGGCTACCTTGACCGCAACTTCGATTTCTCGACCGTCGTAATCTCCAGCTTCCCGGCATACACCTCACCGAAGGCTTTTCCTCCGAAGAAATGAAGGCCATATTCGACTAACTTTCTCTCTGTTTTAGCGTTTTCATGCTGCGGCTCCCACGATGTGCGCGGGGTGGTCTTCCGGAATTTGCTCGCTAATCTTGCCTCGCATAGCTTTACACGCGCGTTATACCTGAGGGTGTGGATGAAGGGGTGAGAAATTGGGGAATTCAAAGTATTCTGCACGCATAGAACAAATAAATTAATAAATCACAGCGAATGGAGAGGGGTATTTGGCCTCACATCTCGCAACGCGAGTCGTGAATCAATCCGAAGTTATTTTTGGTATTATCGGGCCACTTGGGGAAAAATGGTGCCTTGTTCCGCTCGATGTCCCTCAAAATTCATAAAATCCAGGCAAAAAGAGCGCGCCAAAATCAAAACCAAAAATGGAGGCTCCAAAATTTGCTCCACGCCCCCACCGTTGATTCCTGGTAAATAGCCAGATGCTACCGCGTCGCATGTCCTTTTGCCCCTTTTTGGACGCGCAATCGCCCAAATTTCAAAATTCTGACGCGATTTTTGGAATCGTCATCGAATTTTGACCAACCTAGATGTTTTAATGAGGACAATTGCTGAGAAAATGACCGAGATTGAGAGATTGCAAGGCATTACGACATGTAATCGCCTCGCACTCAAAAAGTAGTTTTCGCCCCCAATATTTTAAGCTGAATCCCCGCACGCGCGAATTTTTATCTCTGAACCCCTTGAAACTTGTTTTAGATTAGGAGAGCACCGCTAGATGCGCGAATTTTTCTCGCCCGGGCCCCGGCAACTTTCGCGAAATTTTCAAAAGGGAATATCACATTGGGGAGGTGGCTTCAAAATATGCTAGGATGAGAGGATGAGGCTTGCTAAGGAGATTTAATAAGGCAGGTGGGCTCGGCCTTCGCGGCCCCGACCGAAAAAACGGCCGACGCGATGGAAGAGAGAGATCAGATTTTGTTTGGCCCGACTCCACGCGTCAAAAAGTACTTGTATGCGCCGCCAGGTTTCGATGGCAGCCCATAAAGCCAAAAGAAGGCCGAAACCGACGCTGAAAACGTCGCGAACGAAGCCGTAATGCACGTCCAGGGCGACACAAAAGAGGAGGAGCACCAGCTTGAGGAGCTTGACGTAGAAGCCATGGACCGGAGGAGGTTGAGGCGCTGCTAGTATGTCGCTCAACAACCAGTCGCACGCGAAGCCGGCCACTCGAGCCGCAAGCGTCCCCACGAGCCCTGGCTAGAAAAAAAGCTATGTGACGATGTTGGCAGATACACACCGTGTCATTGTGGCTCGGGATCCAGCTCCAGCCGTGCCAGAGGATGCTGGTGTTGTTGCGCTCGCCTTTGTCTAGCTCAATTTCCTCCCTGGCGGCCGTCTTGTTGAGCTCGATGTCGAGCAGCGACTTCCAGTCCTCCGCGTCGGCCTTGTAGCGGTGGGCCTCACTTGTGGCGTTTTCCAGCTTCGACTTTGGGTCGGAAATCTAATAGCGTTTATAGGTACAGCGCCAACTCTCACCTCCTCCTTCTGCTTCTGCAAGTCGCTTAGAAGCTCGTCGTGGCATGTGCGGGAGTTTGTAGAAGTTTGTAGAAGTTGCCGTCCGTCCAGTTGAAGCCGGGGATATCCTGGGCGTCTAGCTCGCCCTGAAAGCAGAGGAGTAAGTTAACTCAATTTTCAGGAATTTTGAAGGGATTAGCGGCTTACTTGAAGGAATGGGCAGGTGGAGTTGGCCCCATCGTCGTCATACATCTCCTCCCAT